ACTATGTTATGAACAATGCGTTCTGCCGGAGAATTTACAGTTTTGTGAATTAACCGGTAGAGCTTAAAATGAGCAAAATAATTTTAGGAACATAATTTGAAAATTCTGATGACAAATATGAGTTCAGAACGAAAAATTGTATAGTCTGGCACTTTCCGTGAAAATCTCGTGAATAGTGTTTCTACCGGGTATTTTGTACTGCTGTTTAAGCAACCGGTAGAGTCCAGAAATAAATAATTGATGAAATAAGAATAAGAAAGTCCAATATATGCCAAGCAAGTCAATATAGGCCCAAGAAAATGATAAGTTTATAAGTGTTAAGTTTCAAAAGTAAATAAAGTACAGTTAGTGATTCACAGTGCATTTCGTCAAAAACGGTGCAGAAACCATACTGTGAATTATGAATATTGTTTTGTAACAGATAAAAATTTATGTAAATGATTTTAGAAAAATAAAAATATATTTGTAGCTTTGAGTTAGTTCCGGGTTAGTTTAAGTGAAAATACACGAAAGAAAAATACCCGGGTAAAAGGGCACATGTGCTCACCTTCTTAAGTCACTTAAGCCTCATTTCCAAATCAGTTTCTCTCTCCTCTCCTCACTCTCAAAACCGAGCTGCAGCCATGGGGGAAGGGTTTGGGGTTGTCTTCTTCCTTCTTTGATTTCTCCATGGTTAAGCCACCAAATCTTGCACCCAATATACCAATCTCATAGGAAATCATCCAAGGAAGCTATTCCACCCCTCCATTTGAGCTGATTTCGTTTGTGGAGGGAGATATTCATCACTCCATTTTCGGATTACTATTCATCCAAGGTGAAAAAGGGGGTTTTTGGTGGAGTCTTGCTTGTTGGTCACCTTCTAGACCTTGTATAAGCTTTTGGAGGTAATGCACCTCTATTTCCATGGTATTATTTTGATGATTTGAGTTATAAAAGTTATGAGTATGTTTTGGTAGGAAAGCATTGTGTATTAAACTTTGATTTAATGATGAATCTTTGATGTCTTGGATGTAAGAAATGAAAATAAGCATTTGTATGTATGTAAAAAAATTAGAAAAAAATCCTATGATTTCCTCTACATGTTCGGCCATCATAGGTGAAGAATAGGTTGTTGTGCAAAAATTTTATCTTAAGTATTAGGAAGGTTTAATGTGTAGGAATTAAGTGGAAATTTGATAAATTAGTGAGAATGCCAAAGTGGGAAAATTATATGAAATATGCCCTTAGGTTTAGGCCTTGTGGGGCTTTGGAGGGACTTTATGCTCCAAAAATTAAGTTGGAACCTTATGAAAACATGTATTTGTATTTGTAAGTTACGTGTAAGTGAAGAAAAAGAACCTTTGTCTATGTCCTTGTAGTGTTCGACCTAGAGGGTGGTATACGAGTATATTTTGCTACATTTTATTGTAAATAAAATGTGTTGTAATTCATTGTATAAAATTGATGAGTTAAGAAGTGAAAAACTCGAAAAATGGTTGAAAAATACTTTGATTTCCTAAGGGTATGTCCGCGGCGTTTGAAGTAAAATGGCATGAATGATATTAAAAATTCTCAAGTGAATACTTGATTAAAATTAAAGAATGCTAACTAGTATAAGGTGGTCTAGACTTGTGTATTGGCATAACATTGGCAAAAGTATAAAGAAAGGAAAATAAGCGATAAAATGTATGCTTATGAAATAATCATGGCATAGTATCATTTTATTGATGCATTGTAAATTATTCTCTAGGTGTGCCTAGGGATTGAGAAGGATCGGAAATCTCTTGAAGCGATAAAAGTAACTTGTTCCACAAGTAAGCGTATTGGTAAAGCTTCAAGAGGTAAGCTCTATGTTTAAGGAGTCTTTTCCTGCTTGAGTGCTCCACCATGGTTAGTGAACTATGGTTGGACTGTATGACTTTGATTTAGATGCTTTGTATAGATGCATTCATATAGAGTTATTTGATAACATGATATGTTTTGCTCTGATATGACTTCTGTAATATGATTTCGGTAACAATCTCTGGCCATTGATTGTATAGTACCCGGACGTCCGCTTTGGGGTCCTCCCTCGGGACTGATAGTGTACGCCTCTGATATGTCTGGTTCCGCTTTGGGGTCCTCCCTCGGGAACACGTGCGTTGATTTCCGCTTGGGGTCCTCCCTTGGGAATGACGGCGCACATCTCTGATATGATATAGATATATGCTCTGTTCTGTTATGATATCTGTTATATGTTGTATTCGTATACTTTGTATCTGACTTTCATGCAGGAGTGAGCCAGGGGTATGGAGAATTCTCTATAAACCTGGAGCTTATTGAGATTTGTAATCTCACCCCTCTTTGGGGACACATTTTCAGGTGCCCAGATTCCCGGTGAGTCCTCACTAGGCAGGGACACGACACGTGGCTGATGCAGTTGACAGATCGGATTTTGAGTGGCTGTAGGCTACTACCTTTTTGGAGTGTTTGATGTATTTTAGTATTTTCGCATTTGATGGATCATGATATTGATCCTTTATTTTGTATATGGCTTGTATATGTTTTGTACACGTCTGTCACTTTGATGCATGTACATTTGGGTATTCAGGCACGTTATGTGATGAGGTAGTATTCAGATATGTTTACTTGTTGGATTGCATGCTGTTAGATATAGTGGCACTGAGCCAAGTTATGCATGCGCCCATGGATGGGCATTTGAGTATATTTGTATAAACTGTTTATCAGGAAATGCTTCTGTGTGGGATTGGAAAATCCCCAGTTGTCCGATTTATAGAGGAAACTCTGCCCGATTTTCGGTTACGACGAATGAGAATTTAAAAAGAAAAAGAAAAAAGTTAGCTCGTATTTTCAGAAGTTAAGTCTTCCGCTGTTTTCTGTTTTATCATATGTATGTTAATTGAACCGGCTCGAGACGGAGATGTTACAACCCTCATGTTTACCTTAAAAGTGTCTTTTTTATTCTTTTTCACCAAAGATGACTTTAATTCATTTACTTATAGACTAGGGTCATTACACTAATTATTAGCAGTGTTATCAAGGTCCGGGTCGACCCGGGTTCTGGCGACCCGCCATATCAACCGGTTTGGGTTGGCTTTTCGACCGAGCATGCATTTGACTCGGATCAAACCGTGTGACCCGCTTGGGTTGTAACGAATTCCGGTGACCCGTCGGGTCTAAAAAACCAGTGTGAATCTGGTATTAAAAAAAATCAGTGTGAAAACAAAGAAAGAATCGTCATGGCCTTCTCTTTTCTCTGCCAAGCACGATTTTCTACTCTGTTCTCGCGGTCGTCGTCGGTGATAACTCAAGGTGGGGTACTAAATGGAGGTGGTAACTCAAGTTTTGCCAAAGAAACAGGGGAAGAGACGCTCCTTTCAGAAAAATAGTTTGTGAAGAAGAAGAGCACAGTCTAAAGGCAAATATTGGAACCAGCAAATGTAATTGAAGCCAAATCATGACACCCAAGGCTATTAATGCCTCAACCACTTTGCAGTCTAAAGGCAATTCATTGGAAAGACAAGAGCATAGTCATTCGGCCAATCAAAAAGAGATAGAAGGATTACCAACCAATCATAACACTCCAAGGACAATTCCCCTTATCCTCCCTAATGACACATCATCACAATTCATCGGATGCAATTGAAATATTGCAATTAAACTAGCAAGTGTTACCAAGCCAATGTCCAAAGGCCCAAGCGAATTATTAAGAGCCTAGCTTATTTTTGGGTATCCAATTGAACAGACAAAAATCACTCAAGGCCCAAGCAAATTATTAAGAGCATAGCTTATTTTCGGGTATCCAATTGAACACATAAAAATCACTCCTATTAATTAGTAAAAATTATACATAAATGTTACTTATATATATATATATATATATATATATATATATATATATATATATATACAGATTAACCAGTCCGATCGGTGACCTACCGATCCGACCAGTGACCTAGTAACCCAGTATCTCGACCGAGTTGATGCCTGGGCCAGGTTTGATAACACTTATTATTAGCATTAAACGCGTGTGCTGAATAACAATATTAAACCATTCGCGTTATTTCTATTACCCATGCGTTGCTGTGATTTTTTTTAATCTTTTGACCTCAAAATATATAATGCCAAAAGACTAGCCAACTTGGTGATAAAACCTCACAATTCAAGCATCACACTAAGCCTCCACGTCCATGTTAGTGTCATAGATCATGATATAGAACTCATCTTATGATCGGAGAGTGGAAGAAGCTTTCGTAGGAGCTTTACTCAATCAATTGGAATCTAGTAAAAAATTTATCATATTCCTATATATACATCTAAACCAAATGATTTTGAAGACCATTTCTACCAAACCATTTTAAAAGTATATAATCAGATTCACAAAATATAGTAAGCTTATAATTAGTAGATATGTGACCCATACACTCATTGCTACATCATCAATATTTGAATCGAAAAGTCAAATGAAAGATTAAATTAAGTGATCAAAACAAAAAGGAGGAAATGTTCTTTGGGCAATTTCCTTAAAAGCAACAAATGCCTGAAATGGGGAGTTCCAATCTGATTAACCATCTCTAAAATCCATTTAATTGATACACATAAAATAAAATAGGATATTAACACTAGGGGCAGCACTGGCGAATTTAGCCACGTTTCAAGCGTAGCTAAATAAACGTAGCAAATCATGTTTCAAATTTTTTGAAAATTAACCATGTTTTGGACATAGCTGAATAACAGTAACTATTTTGGCACCAGCTGAAATTTTTGACACTAACTAAAATACTTTGCTGGCTCCACCGATTAACATAATACTATTACAATTCTCATAAATATACAAGATTACAAATATTAAAAGATTAACAAATTACTGGGTCAACTATGCTCTTGTACTCACACTCAACCATTGCAAAATGACACACCAATTTGTGTTTGACATAATTTGACAGTCAATGACGCAAAATTTGTAATGCCATGGCTGCATTTGTTTGCCTACAATAAATTCTTGAACAAGTGACACAATTTTAGACTACTCCATATCCTAGTACAGCATCCCGAGTTTTTTCAATATCTTTTATAGCAATTTCAATATCTACATCTATAGCATCCATCTTTTCCTTCAGCCTATTCTTTTCCATCTTTAGAGCTTCCACATTCTGCTCCCTCTCTATCACATTCATAACTCTATGAAACCGAAGACGCCTAGCTAAAGCAGATTCAACATGGGGTTTAAGCCATTCCAAATCAAATCCAAATGTCTCAAGTTCATTCCATAAAATTTGAAGATGCTCACGAGCATCATCCTTCATATCTATCACCTTTTTAGTCTTGAGAAAAAATAGAACTCGACCCAAAGCCGTAAATGCCCATTCAGTAAACCTACGACTTTTATTATGCTGGCATTCAATAAGTGATGGATGGCGGGAGCATACTTCATCTAACAATGGAACAAAAGCTTTTTCAATTTTTCCTAAACCCCTAAAATCCATGAGCTCACCAAATGAGGCTGAATACATTCCCTTAGCTTGGTCTACTTGTGCAGAATCTGCTGAAACATCAATCTTTCTAACCGCTTGGTCTAATTGATTCTCATGTTCTGACTTGCTAGCAAAAATCTCAGCTTCAATTACACAAGTATCATTCTCAATAAACCCCCTGCAACAATCATGAAGTTCAGCTAAAGGTATGAATGATTGGAAACCCCAGCTATTTTGTTTTGCATTGAACAATTGTTCAGTTTTAGTTCCTGAAAAGATAAAATATCAAGGATCAATTGTGTTGGATTAAAATTAAAATGATAATGATTATCAAGCGGATATATGATTACAAGTACACACCCAGTCACTACGTGGAGGAGTTAATCCTAAAAGACTTAACTATAAACTTGAAAGAACCTCATCAAAGATACCTTCAGTTATTGTCATTTTGCCATTGACCTGATTAATTAAAGCCAACTTGAACTTTGTAAGTCTGCTCCAACCACAAGGAAACTTAGAAACATCCCCAGCAACCAAAAAAATTGACAAGAAGTCCACATCGTCCCCCTTTGGATATATAAGAATCCGCCTAAAAAACAAAGTCCAAATAAAAATGCAAAAAGAAACTTAGAAATAAAAATCATGCCAAAGAGCACACTAGATGCGGGTATAGTAAACAAGAACTCATGCAAGCACCATGAATGGCCGCAGACGAAGAAACTCTCAGAGTACAGCTTCTCGCAGGATAATTTAGAGAAGTTCTGAATAGTCCATGTGAACTTCTCCAACGTTTCATCCCTTGTCTTTTGATTCTCCATTTCCACAACCTGTAAGCCACAAGCACAGTATCATTAAGAGAAAAAAAAACAAAGTTTTATTTAGTGAAAGAAGGTTCAAGAATCGGGAGAAAAAGCAAAAGACTGAAAGAGAGAGAGAGAGAGAGACTGAGAGTCAAAGCGAGAGTTACGTTAAGTAAAGCGATGATTTGTTACTCATACAGAAAATTCTTTTAACTCTCCCAAATATATAGATCTTAATCAACAAGCATGCATACAAAGCGACACACATTCTCCACCAAGTAATAGCCTCTAATTACAATGATTCACGATATAGAAAAGTGTGTTAATTAATGTATAATTGCAAGTGATTCTTTAATTGAATTATATGTAGTTAGTAAATTCAATTTCCATTGAATAACTTGTTGAGTAACAATTAATTATGACTCAGATTCCAGTGTAAAATCACCTATTGCTCAACTCTTGATCAAAGTTTTAAAAACGTTATGCTACTTTCCATTTGGTTGAAAATATTTAGTTGAGTCTTTTCAGTTTCTATATATAAACATTCAATTCAGTCATTGATTTAGGAACTATAATTTATTATTTGACAAATACAAATTCAATTATGTAATACTAATCCATGGAGTTTATTTATTAACCATTTTGTTCGAAATGCTTAATTTGTAGTGTACCTTGCAAAGGATGATATGTTCAACTCATGCACAATATTTTCTTTAGGAAAGTAGCCAAGCTAAGTATAAAAAAAAAATTAATAATCTATGACATTGTTCCACACCTTCACACTTGCTTTGTGTGCACAACTAATTGAACATCTCTCATCAGTCAGAAAGCATTCAAGCTTGAAACCTTCCCTTGTGACTTTTCATCTTCATCAATTGCTTGTCCCAAAAATGTTTTGATATTCCCCCCTTATAAACCAATTAATATGATTAAAGAATCATGTACATGTGCAGTAAACCAGTTGCTATTTAATTTATTACCACAAAACGTGAGTCAGATAACAAAAGTTAAATCATTATCATTATCATTATTTCAATTACCCATGTCTTGCTGAGATTTTTTAAAATCTTTTGACCCCAAAATAAACTAATCAAAATGAGAATGAATTATCTCATGTTAATAATTCACATGACCTAATCATGTAAAGTTTTTGTGTCTATCTCTTTTTCATTAGTTTTTTTGTAATTGCTCTAGCTTCAATTAGAGAAGTGGGATGAAAAGTGGAGTCAAAATGCAAAACTTGGATATTTGACTTGACAAATATGTGTAGTAGAGGTGTTAAAATGGATTCAATCTATCATATTGATCCATTTAACCAGACATAAATGATACGGTGGGTTGTAACGTTTAAAAATGCCGTACATAAAAACAGGTCAAAATGAATTTAATCCGCCACGCGGTCAACCCATAAATTAAAATTGACGAGAATGTAAAACAAAATTGAAAAACATTATAAAACACACAAAAAATTCCTTAAGTTTTTCCTTTTCTTTTAAATAATTTAAGAGTTTTCGTTTTATCCTTTAACATAACACAACAAACTTTCCTACATTCACAACATTTTGTGGGACCCACACTTTTTAAAACAAAAAAATAAATAAAAAATTAAGGCACGCAAAACGAATCTCTATAACATTACACAATCACTCTTCCTACAACATAACTCTTATAAACACCCATAATTTAATTCCCAAACCAACCAATCCAACAGAAAACGAAATAAATTGAGATTTCAATCCACTTACAAAAGGCGAATCAATCCGCCCCATTTCATTTTTGGGTGGGTTGGGAGCCGATCAAGACACGCCTATCCGCTTACCACCTCTATGTAATAGCATCTTGTTAATTTGTCAAGTCATTTTAAGTTTTCTTCTTTGTGCAGCTCGACATCCTAAGATCTACTTGTGGCCATTGATATGATTAATTCAAGCTTCAGCAAGAAGACTGATGAATGCAACTTCTTTCATTGAATAGTCACAATGTGTCAATTATGATGTTATCCTTTCCCTGATTAAACCATTGCAAAATGACACCCTAATCCGAGTTTGGTTGCCATCATTTTAACAGCCAAACGACGCAAAATTTGAGCTGCTTTGGGTTCAAGCGACAATACATCAATAATAAACGGTTATCCTAATCAAACTATATGATAAGATAAATCACTCCAGCCAATACAACCACCTATAGATGCATATTCAACTATTTACATTTCACAACTAGAATGAAGTCTCAAGTTTTTATGGTGCTCCATATCCAAGTTCAGCATTCAAATCCCAATCCTCAAAGCCTTCTTCTACTTCCACCAAGTCTTCTCTTGCTATTTCAATATCTACCTCTACAGCAGACATCTTTGCCTTCAGCCTCTTCATTTCCATCTCTAGACCAGCCACATTCTGTTTCCTCTTTTTCACCTGCACAGCTTTCTCGATATAAATTTTCATACCTAAAGCAGATTGAACATGGGTAAAGGATTATCAGTATGATACTGAAACATACTTCATCTAGTAGTGGAACAAAAGCTCTTTCTATTTTCCCTAAACCCCTGAAATCCATGAGCTCACCAAATGATACTGAAAACATTTCCCTGGGTAAAGGATTATCAGTATGTTCAATAGGCTCAGCACAAACTTGTGCAGAACCTGCTGAAACATCAATTTCGCTATTTGCTTGATCTCCTTGATTCTTTTGTTCTGGCTTGCTAACAGAAATCTCAGCTGTGATTATACAAGTATCATTCACAATATACCCCCTCTTAGAATCACGAAATTCACCTAAAGGTATGAATGATGTGAAACCCCAATCAATCGTTCTTTCATTGAACAGGTGTTCAGTTTCTGGAAAGTAGATATATCAAGAGTCAATTGTATTGGATTAAAAATAAAATGTCTCTTTTTACAAATGGATATATGATTACAGGTACACACTAGGTCACTACGTGGAGGAGACTAGCTATTAAGTGAAAAAAAAAATCATGACTTTACCGTCACAGTCTCCATGGAGAATATAACACCATGATAGGGTTGTCACAGAAAAGATCACAGATATTATATAATTAGAAAATTAAATTGTGTTTTACACAAACCACAACTATGAGCAGGAAAGAGGGAATCATGAAAATTAAGCAATAGCAAAGGGATAACAAAGAGTTAAGGAGGCAATCAGCTGTTAAGAAATTGCCAAGCCTCAATGTGAAATTGCTAAGAAACTCAAGTTTCATTTACAAAAGAAATAGTATAGCCAAAGCAAATTACTAAAAACGGAAAAGAAAGTGAAGAAAAGAAAAGAAAAGGAATGAAGGGGACTGAGAAGTATGGAAGATACCTTTTGTTATTGTCATTTTTCCATTGACCTGATTAATTAAAGCCAACTTGAAATATGCAAATCTGCTCCAACCATAAGGCGCATCCAAATAAATTGACAAAAAGTCCACATTATTCCCCTTTGGAAAGATAAGAATCCGCCTAAAAGCAAAGTCCAAAGCAAACAAAAATGCACAAATGAAAATCAAATCAAAGAGTACCCAACAGAAATATCTAATAAACAAGAATTAATTCAAGCACCATGGATGGCCATCGAGGAAGAAATTCTTAGAGTACAGCTTCTTGGAGTCCAATTTAGAGAAGTTCTTAATTGTCCACGTTAACTTGCTGACAGAAATCTCAGCTTCGACTATACAAGTATCATTCACAATAAACCCCCCGCTAGGATCACAAAGTTCACCTAAAGGTATGAACGATTTGAAACCCCGGAGAATCTCTCTTGCATTGAAGTTGTGTTTAAATTCTGAAAAAGTTGATATAACTTGAAACATAAGGGTATTTGAAATATTATTAAATCGTATTTGAATCTGTACATAGGGGTCTCTATTTATAGAGACTTCTTGACCTAATGGGCTTGGCCCAATATACAAGTAACGGACTAAATAAATACAAATAAATGACTACATAATTACTAATAAATGACTACATAATTACTATTTACAACAGCAATAAATGACTACAAATAAATGACTACATAATTACTAATAAATGACTACATAATTACTATTTACAACAGCAATAAATGACTACATAATTACTAATAAATGATTACATAATTACTATTTACAACACTCCCCCTCAAGCTGAGGAATAGATATTTATCATTCCCAGCTTGCTAGCAAGTTCTTGAAATCTATCTGAAGGAAGCCCCTTTGTCAATAGATCAGCTAATTGACGCCCAGTGGGAATGTATGGAGTGGTAATCAACCCGCTATAAAGTTTCTCTTTGATGAAATGACGGTCGACCTCAATATGTTTAGTCCGATCATGTTGAACTGGATTATGAGCTATACAAATAGCGGACTTATTATCACATAGCAGCTTCATAGGTCCCTCACATTTTATTTTTAGATCATCAAGTACAATTTTCAGCCACAGTAACTCACAAATGCCTTGAGCCATAGCTCGAAATTCAGCTTCTGCACTTGATCTGGTGACCACATCTTGTTTCTTACTTCTCCATGTCACCAAGTTACCACAAAGAAACATGCAATAACCAGTGGTAGAAAGACGGTCAGTCACGGATCCAGCATAATCAGCATCTGTGTAGACTTCTAAAGATAGATTGCCATCACGTCGGAATAACAACCCTTTACCAGGAGTACCTTTCAGATACTGAAGAATTCTCTCTACTGCCTGCATATGTTTCTCCTTTGGATCGTGCATAAACTGACTGACAACACTAACAACATAAGCTAACTCTGGTCTAGTATGCGCCAAATATATCAATTTCCCAACTAGCTGTTGATATTGTCCTTTATCAACTGGAGGACTCTCCTCTTCATAGCCCATCTTGTAATTCTGCTCAATAGGAGTATTAGAGGGTTTACACCCGAGCTTTCCTGCTTCTTTGAGAAGATCAAGAACATATTTCCTCTGGCTGATAAGGATTCCTTTGCTCGAATGAGCTACTTCTATCCCTAGGAAATATCTCAGTTTCCCAAGGTCTTTGACTTCAAACTCAGAGGCAAGCCGTGTTTGCAGAATCTGTCTCTCCACAAAATCATCACCTGTGATAATAATATCATCAACATATACAAGGAGCACAGTAAGATTCCCATTTTGGGAGTGCTTGAAAAAAAGAGTGTGATCTCCTTGACTTTGTTTATATCCTAAGGTCATCATAACCTTAGTAAACTTTCCAAACCAGGCACGAGGTGACTGCTTCAATCCATACAAGGCCTTTTTTAATTTACAAACTTTATTTTCTCCCTTCACAGAATCAAAACCAGGCGGAATTTCCATGTAGACTTCTTCTTCTAACTCACCATTGAGGAAAGCATTCTTCACATCAAATTGGTTTATATCCCAATTGTAATGGGAAGCAAGGGATAACAAAACTCTCACCGTATTCATCTTTGCAACTGGAGCAAATGTTTCTTCATAATCAATGTCATAGGTTTGAGAGTAACCTTTGACAACTAATCGAGCTTTGTATCTCTCAAGAGTTCCATCAGAATTATATTTCAGGGCATAAACTCATCTGCACCCTACTGCTTTCTTTCCAGTAGGTCTATCAATAACCTCCCATGTTTTATTTTTCTCCAATGCATTCATCTCCTCTTGCATGGCTTGAGCCCAATTCCTATCTTTCAAGGCTTCATGTACTGATTTTGGGATTGCAATAGAGTCTAGTGCTGAAACAAAGCTTTTGTGCTGCACAGAAAGATTAGCAGAGGAAACAAACTGGGAGATAGGGTATTGAGTACAAGAGGGACATGAGGGACAAGATTTCTTGGGACAAGTTCTTTTTCCTTTTCTAAGAGCAATGGGTAAATCATCAGAATCAGTAGTAATGGGTAAGTCATCATGATCAGAAATATGAGATTCAGGACTTACCAGTGGTTCAGACGATTGAGGTTGCTGCTGAGACAATGTGGGCTGTTTCCTTCTTTCAGGTGTCATAATCTTTCGTATCTCTGGTGTACTTGATGTATCAATCACAGGAGAATCAGTCACAGGAGGATTACTCACAAGAGGATCAGACACAGGAAGAACAGACAC